GGAGGAGGGGGAGTGGGGGGACGGTCTGGGAGAAGTTTGGGTGTGCGGGGAGGGAAGGAGGAAGGGGGAAGGACGGAGGAGGGATGGAGAGAGGGATGCGCGGCGGCTGCGGGGAGCGGGGAGGCGCTCCGCCGACCCTGGCTGCTGATTGCACCCGGGTTGGGGGGGGACGGGGGGACACGACAGCGGGGGACAACCCCCACTGCATCCCCCCGGTACCCCGGGGACCCCCCCAAGGGGGATCCGGCGGATAAAGAGAGCTCTGAGGAGCCAAAGGCGAAGGGAGGGAATTATTCACCCCGGGATGCACAGAGGAAAAATAAATAATAATAATAATAGAAAACAAACCGAAAAACCCAAACCCAACTGCTGAAGAGGATTTAGGAAAGTCGGCACCACACCCCCCCAGCCTCGGCCAGAAAGACACTCGCGTTTCTGGGGGTGGGAAGCATTTTAGGGGGGGCCGAGATGCTGGGGGTGGCGGAGGCAGCGCGGGGGGCCCAGGTCCAGAGGGATGCGCCGGAGCATCTCACAGCCGGCTGGAAAACCGACCAATAAATAAATAAATAAATAAATAAATAATAACGACAGGAGAGAGGAAAAAAAAATAATAAAGGAAAAAGGAGAGAAAACCGGGTCCTGAAGACCGGGAAGAACCCCCCCTCGCCCCCCAGCCGCCGGTTGCGCTTCATCCCGCCGCCGGCGCCACCAGAAATTCCCCCCGGCGCTAAAAGTTCTCCCAAAATATCCATCACCGCACCCCGCGGTGGGGTCTCCAAGGGGAGAAGGGGGGAAAGAGGAGCCCAAGCCCCTCTCTTTCGCTTTCTCTCCGCCGCTAGGCACCTCGTCCCCGCTTATACCGCTCGCCTTCCTCTTTGGGGGGTGGGGGGGAATCACCGCAACCCCTCGCACCCAGCCCCATCTCCGCGGTACCCGGCGGAGCACCGCGGATCACCCGGAGGGATGCTTCTCCTCCGCTGGCCTAACACACCTGTGTCACACAATATTTCTCTGGAGGGTTTTTATTATTATTATTATTATTATTATTATTATTATTATTGTAAAGGCATCTAGTGCAAACTCCTGCATGAGGGAATTCCACCCCACTAGTTCCACCTCCTAAGACAATATGTTCAAGGTTTAACGGCGAGGTCACGTCCACTGACGTCAGCTGGAGGCATACTGTACGTCCGGCTACATTTACATACATCAAGGAAATTAGGGCATTTAAAAAAAAAAAAAAAAAGGAAATTTAAAAAAAAAAAAGAATATGCCAATCCCGCTGCTGAGAGAAGAAACCGCGGATTCCCGGAGCGATCGCCCCTGTTGTGGAAGATCCTAATTAACGGAAGAAAAAAAAAATCAGGCCTCCCTTCTTCTTCCGAACATCATCACCATCATCATCACCACCAATAACCAAACAAACATCCCCGAAATGAGCGACCCTGGTGGGGCTGCGGCGCCGAGAAGAGCCGGGATGGAGCGGGCGGCTCCACCGCTGCGCCATTCTCCTCTCTTCCTCCTCCTCCTCCTCCTCCTCCTGCTCCTGTTGGCTCCAGCCTCCATTATTTTTAATACTGATGCATATGTAAAGGTATATTTGCATTTTTTTTTTTAATTTATTGAAAGTTACAGGCTATGGGTTTTCCCTTCATGTCTCCTTTCTGTCATTTTATTTTATTTTATTTTATATTTTTTATTTTATTTTATTTTATATTTTATTTTATTTTTAAACCAACACCCTCCACCCTTCCCTTTCTTTTTTTTCATTCCCCCCCGGTTGTTTTTTTGTTTTGTTTTGGGGGGAGGGGTGTTTGTGTGGGTTTTTTTGTTTTTTTTTGGCGAGATTGTGCTGTGTCTGTGTCTTTACACCCTCCATGCTTCTGTTTGTATAAGGCTACAAAATAGGCACGGTGCTAATACTACACATCAGGGAGCACAAAGATGCTTTATGGGGCCTTGAGAGGAGAGGAGGAACTCGTTGCCCTGCTCAGCTATCATACCACCAACTCGGAATTGGAAGTTTGGTCTCTAATTAACCCCCTTATTTGGAAAAAAAAAAAAGTAAAAAAAAATAATGTCACCCTTTTTAAGGCATAAGGCGTTCTAGGTTGTGCCTGTCGTGGGGACTTCTGCTAGGGATTTGTAATATCTCATTGCTGTGTCACGGCCTGCAAACGCACTTATATGTGCCTTGATTTCAGGAACCTTTTATTTCAAAGTCTTCTCTTAAAACGCGCAGACCCAGGTAGGGAGAGCTTTCTCTGAGGGAGACATTTTGTATGTTCTGTCTGAAGTGCTGCAGGATTAACCGTATTACCTCTCATTTTAGCGTGTGCAGCTTTAAACCCGCTACCTAATTCTTTACAGATTTTTTTTTTTTTTTAAAAAAAAAGCATTTTTACAGGCTGTTTTTAAAATATTACCGATGGCGTTACATTGGCTTTATCCGAAAATCCGCAGGCCTTGGGTTGCATCACAAGGAGCGTGAGCTCGGCTCTGTTTGCCTTGATGGGGAAATCCTTACAAGAAAGAAGAGTAGTTTAACTCTGATTAAAAACAGAAGGTTACACTCTTTTTGTAGCTCAGGTATACTATCTTTTGGGGTTTTTTTTTTTTTTTTTTTTTTTTTTTTTTTTTAAACGAGAAACGGTACTCCATAAAAAACAATACCCACCCCTACTCACATATTTTTTTTTCTCTCCGAGTGCATGCATAATTAGTTACGCTATGACTGACTTACCTGCATGAACAGATAGAGCAAAAAGTTACACCCCCCCCTCCAAAGACTGTAATGCATGTACTATTATTTTTATTTTTATTTTTAAATAAAGAGCAGAGTGTCGTGCTCGGTTTGTGTTACTCGGTGCCCGTTTCACCGCGGTACGCTCTAATTTTTCGGCGGTTCTTACGCTGTTTCCAGCACTGTTTCCCAAGCCCCGCGCTGATATCCCGCCCAATAAAAAGCGGTCGGATGGATAGACGTAAACCAACTCGAGGGATGGAATAAGAACAAAAAATAACTGCCCCCCCCTTCCATATTCCGCACACGCGTGACCAAATACGGGCTTTTTACAGCTTAAAAAAAAAAAAAAAAGAAAAAAAAAAGAAAAGAAAAGGCAAAAAACCCACCATAAACCGACACCATATTCCTTTATGTTAGCTCTTACCTTACCACTTATAGCAACAATTCATCGGGAAAAGTACCATTTCTACAGGTT